ATTTAAATATGCAAGCAAGAGACAATATAGTTGATATAAAGTGGAAATAAATGGAAATGTAGCACAGGTTTTAAAGTATGAGATGGACTGGTTTTGATTTCGGAGAGAACAAATTATGGCCGTTCAATACGCTTTGAATGTGCCTTTTAAGTCTCTCAACCCGAGAATAATATTACCAATAAAGTCACACAATTATTTCAAAATCAAACAATTGTTAATCAAAAAGTAGCTTTATTAACACAACGCAAACCTGAAAATTTAGTCCAGAGATTTTCCTTCTGGTTGTCCATTATGAAAAGGATATGTTTTAAAATGTAAAGACCTGTACTCTACAGTCTCGGGAAACTAGAAGGCCCTTAATAATGTCACTTAATGCAAAAATGTGGTAGAAAATACAAAAATGTAATCATTTTCCCTTATTCATGGGATCCAAATCTCTCTTGTTATCAGAAAATAAAATATCAGTTAATAGGCTATTACACAAATAGAATTTCCCTCAGAAGATATCAGTTGCCATCCTTTGTATGTTTTACAGAATTGTTTTGGTTACAGTTTGATTTCCTCATAATATGCTGTGGGGAAATTTAATGCGAAGCCCCACGAATGTCACGTTTTAGATGTGTGTGTGGCCATCTTCCAAGGGAACCAGTGAGAAATACACAGACAACATTCAAACGGCCGTCTCCCGACACACAGTTAAGAGAGTCCTCAGCTGCATTCCTTTTAGAGAGCTCGGCAGCTTTGGCGCTGCAAACAGCAGGGTTATCCATTTTGCGTCTTGAATGCAGCAGGACGCGGCGACGCTACATTAGTCTTGAAAGCAATGTGCACGACGCGGTAAGCGTTGCTTTGTCGACTCACAATGGATACCTTGTCCTTCCTCCAGGTAACAAGTACGTGCCTCGTGCTATTCTTGTGGATTTGGAGCCTGGCACAATGGACTCCGTCAGGTCTGGGCCTTTCGGACAAATATTCAGGCCGGATAACTTTGTCTTTGGTAAGCTTCGATTAGACCGTGTTAACGCCTGCAGTTCAGACCTCGGCATCCTGAGATTTGTGTTTGTTTCAGCATTAATTGAAAGCAAAGAGTGGGCTAAACGGACAGTATGCTGGTTCTTCCAGCTTCGCAGTGGGTTTAGGGAGTGGGTTTGGGCCCGGTGCCAGCCTGTGCACTCACAGACATTCCCCTTCACCGTCGGCCAAGAGAGGAAGGAGGGCGCTTTCAGTATTCAGGGCTCCTTCCCCCCCTGTGAGACCCACTCTTGATAAAGGAAAGGGTGTCGTCTCACATGCAGACTGGAACTCAAATACTGAAACCTCGAAACTGGGAAATAATAAAAAAAAAAGGCCCGGTGTGACGCAGTAAGATAAGTGTATGTCTCTGCGTCTCGGCTGAGAGGAGTGACTCAGGTCACAGTGGGGATGACAACTGCATTGCAGTGCTGATTATTACAGCTAAATGGGGACAGAGGAGGAGTTACCTACTCCAGATTTGCTGAAAAAATATAATACAGAACCTATTTAAATATTCAAGCCAGAGACAATATAGTTGATATAAAGTGGAAATAAATGGAAATGTAGCACAGGTTTTGAAGTATGAGATGGACTGTTTTTTTTTTTCAGAGAGAACAAATTATGGCCGTTCAAAACGCTTTGAATGTGCCTTTGAAGTCTCTCAACCCGAGAACAATATTACCAATAAAGTCACACAATTATTTCAAAATCAAACAATTGTTAATCAAAAAATAGCTTTATTAACACAACACAAACCTAAAAATGTAGTCCAGAGATTTTCCTTCTGGTTGTCCATTATGAAAAGGATATGTTTTAAAATGGAAAGACCTGTACTCTACAGTCTGGGGAAACTAGAAGGCCCTTAATAATGTCACTTATTGTGATTGTGGCCTCCAATTGTTAACATGTGGCAAAAAGAATTATCTATACATGAAGAATAATTCATCTGGGGGGGCATGAGGTTCATAACAGGGAATGCTTTGTCTCATTATTCATAAGAAAGACAAACGGTAATCTTCAATCAGTTCAAGCAGTTCAGCTTGCAGGCTTCTGAGCTGCCTTTATTGAATGAATGAATAGGCCAAAAAATAAGTGATTTTTTTCCCCTTACCTGGTAAGTGACTACAGTATCTGTGACATACCTCTTTACACCTTCATTGCTCTAATAAAACATTGTTGAAACCTACAAACTTATTAACAGGCGAATAATCTGCAATGTATTTGTATCCGTTACAAGAGATAGACAATGAACATGGTTCAGCACTACCGGGAGAATCATCAGTCATGGCTCTTTCACAGTGTTTAAAACACGTGATTCTTGTTTTAATTTTTTAGGTCAGAGTGGGGCCGGCAATAACTGGGCCAAAGGTCATTACACCGAGGGCGCGGAGCTGGTGGACTCGGTTCTCGATGTGGTCCGGAAGGAGTCTGAAAGTTGCGACTGCCTGCAAGGCTTTCAGCTCACCCACTCCTTGGGCGGGGGCACCGGCTCGGGCATGGGCACCTTACTCATCAGCAAGATCCGAGAGGAGTACCCTGACAGAATCATGAACACTTTCAGCGTCATGCCTTCCCCCAAGGTGTCGGACACCGTGGTGGAGCCCTACAACGCCACTCTGTCGGTCCACCAGCTGGTGGAGAACACGGATGAGACCTACTGCATCGACAATGAAGCCCTCTACGACATCTGCTTCCGCACCCTGAAGCTCACCACGCCCACGTACGGAGACCTGAACCACCTGGTGTCGGCCACCATGAGTGGGGTCACCACTTGCCTCCGGTTCCCCGGGCAGCTGAACGCCGACCTGCGCAAGCTTGCCGTCAACATGGTGCCTTTCCCTCGCCTTCACTTCTTCATGCCCGGCTTTGCGCCGCTGACCAGCCGCGGCAGCCAGCAGTACCGTGCCTTGACTGTGCCCGAGCTAACGCAGCAGATGTTCGACGCCAAGAACATGATGGCGGCCTGCGACCCTCGGCACGGGCGATACCTCACCGTGGCAGCCATTTTCCGCGGTAGGATGTCCATGAAGGAGGTGGACGAGCAGATGCTCAATGTGCAGAACAAGAACAGCAGCTACTTCGTGGAGTGGATCCCCAACAACGTGAAGACCGCCGTCTGCGACATCCCCCCAAGGGGTCTCAAAATGTCCGCCACTTTCATCGGGAACAGCACTGCTATCCAGGAGCTGTTCAAGCGCATCTCGGAGCAGTTCACCGCTATGTTCCGGCGCAAGGCCTTCTTGCACTGGTACACGGGAGAGGGGATGGACGAGATGGAGTTCACGGAGGCCGAGAGCAACATGAACGACCTGGTGTCCGAGTACCAGCAGTACCAGGACGCCACTGCGGATGAGCAGGGCGAGTTTGAGGAAGACGAGGGGGAAGACGAGGCGTAGAGTCCAGACTGGCACAGTGGGTCACCTCAGCTCGAAGCACACTTTTTAAAGTCTTAGCCTTTAAAACCATCATTGAGACATGCAGCTTAATTCTGTATTTTGTAACCGTGGTTGATGTCGAGCAGAATTTTTTTGTGCGGTTGTGTGGAAAACAGAAATGATCTCTTTACAATTTGTTTGTTCACACTGATGAGAAATTCATTAACATTTTGGCAGTGTATGCGCTCCCATTCTTATGTGAGGAAAATGGGGTGAATGATGAATTTACGTCTGGTATTAAAGGTTTCTCAAAACTTAATAAAATGTGTGCCAGCATTAAACTGTGGACCTTCCAGTGTAATTGTAATTGTTTCTTAAATCAGCAAATTCAATCCCAAAAGTAAGGTATGATGACAATAACATAACCCTATAAGAACACACGCAAATAATAATTTCTTTCTGCCACAATATTGCCTGTGTGTTTCTCACATTTACAGTACACATGCTTGAAATGACTTGAGTGTTTTCCTCTTTTGACTACCAGTTCCCACTTGCTAAGCAGACGTACAGGATCCTAAATACAAACGTCTACAGCTTGGCTCAGGGTTCAATAGTAGTAAACTACCAAAACTTTGGGGCGTAAGGGAGACCCACTCTTGATCTTGCTTACATCTCAAAGAGTTGCATGCATTTCCATGTGGACCTCCAAGACACACAGTCATATTTCAATGTATATTCCCCATTGTATATCACTGTACTCGATCAGTCTTCTCTCTGATTCTTCTAAAAAAAACCTCAACACTACACATGCACATAATCTGTGCAGAAGAGGTTTATTGTAGAATTTACCCAGTGTCAAGTGTGATTATGAATATCCACCATTTAAAATGAATTTTGGGGTAGTTCGACAGACCAAGATTAGCAATCATCTGGAACTTGCTTATCAAAAGTAACATCAGGTCCAAGATTAGTCTTAACTTTCTGCTCTGGAACAAATATCTCAAATATTAACTCAGCTGAATATTTGGTAAGTAAAGCAAGTTATCAGAGTTGTGCAAAATATCAGAGAAAAAATATTTACATTCATGGATGTAAACAACGAACTATAATCCAGAAAATAGCACTACATTTAAGTATGTACTATAAAGACTTCATAAACTTTTTTTCTGAATACTCAAAACATAGTTTGAATAATTTTTATATTATTCTTAAAACATATAATTTTCCCATATCATTTTAAACACATCATACAATCTGCAGATAAATCTGCAGACTTCCAAAACACTTGTCTCCATCTACAAACTGTTCGGCATATACAGCACCTTTTAACATAGTACAAGATATTACAAAACACAACTCTGGTCAAACATCAGACAGTATTCTGTTTCCAAACATCAAAAGCACAGCTGATTTAATAACCTGATCAGTTTTAGGGAACATATGAGTGTTGCCAATTGAGGCTACTGTAATATGTCCTTTTTGATGTTTGATGCCAGAAGACATTTACAATTCAGGGTTATTTCACCACTGTAGTTATCAAAGGCAAAGAAATTCTTCAACCAGGTTATTGAACTCTCCAGCAAACCTCAAGTGTAGATTATGCTTGCCTTCTGGCATTAGATGAAGCCTGAAAAAAATAACATGATTTTAGATTTTATGTATCTTAAATAAAATCTATTTTTTAAGTTTTCATTCACACACATATGGGTTCTACATCTATGTTAGATCCCACATTTTGGCAGATTACATGGGATCTATTAAAACAAAAAAAAAAGAAAACATTACACAACTAAATGCTGTTTCTAGTGTGAAACATATTCAATTTCATATTCATGAGACTGTGCTGCATTAATTATCTGAACTGCTGTTCCATCTCCCTCCCTGGGCCAGAATAACTCTTTTGGAGAAATGAAGTGATCTTACCGTGATCATTTTATGTAAAGCAGCTAATACAAAACACAGTTAAAACTTAATTACTCAAATGATCGCTGCCGCTGTGCATCAACGAATGCATCTTCTTGTAAAGAAACTTAAATTATTCATTGTGCACCATCCACCTTTCCAGTCATTTTCCTGTCAGACTGCAGACTTCAGTTATTTGCCATTCCATTAGGCTGGGCTAATGAAGATTTGTATTCCTCTGCCCCAGGAGACCTGCGACCTCCTTACTCAGCACAATACAGTAAACCCATCTCATCTCAGCTGTGTCTCACGAGGAGCGGCTCAATTTCTGCTGCCGTATTGGCACGTCCCTGGCGGGGGTACGAGCTGCCTCACCGGGAGCCCTTGATGTGCTGGAGGAGATATTCAGCGTGGAAACGTGGCACCATGGGGTCCTTTTCACCATGGACGATTAAAGTTGGGCAGGCGATCTGGGGTAGCAGCTCCCGACAAATGCTACCTGAAGCCCAAACCCGCAGAAAACAAAACGGATCTCAACGTGGTAAAAAGACAATACAGGGACAATGGAGGAATCGGAGTGCCGCGTCGACACTAAAAAAAAATAGCTTTACCCTGATCTGGCGATGGACCTGTCTGGGTTTGCCTTCCAAAAAAGAAACTGTAAGCAGGTGAATTCATCAGGTGTGCAGGTGCGTACTGGCCCCGTCCCAGAGCAATTCACACGCTGCACCTGGAATCTTTACTGCTGCTGCACTCAGTTCACTTTATAACTTTAATACCTGCTAACAATATTTCCCGCAATATATTTGTAATTAAAAGGTTTAAAAAATGCTATGAATCTTGTAAAAAAAAAAAAAACATTACCATAAAACACACTTTCTATTCATTGAAATGTTGGGAATATCTCAATTACTCGACTCTCTCTGATTATTGTGCCAGGGCATTTCACATCCTCTCACAAAAGCTTTCCGACTCGGAAGCTGTTTTCCCCAAATCCTCAGCCTCCCTGGTCTCACCGTCAGGTCTCTGTGCAAACTGACTGATGCCGTCCACCCACGCCTGCCAGGTCTGAGCGAAATATTCGTCACCATACAGCTCCCTCATCGGCGCCCTCATCCTTTCACTCCAGGCTGAAACATCTCTCAGAGCTATTCAATAACAAAAGGAACAGTATTATCTTTTTCATTCAGCTGACGCTTTTACTCAAAGCAACTGAGATCTGCACCCATTCATACAGCTGTGTATTTTACTGGTGGAGTTCAGCTGAAGCACGTTGCTCAAAGGTGAATGGGCTGTGTCTCCGTTGGGATTCAAACCTATAGCCACCAAGTTGCGAGCCCAGAGTCTTAACTCAAGTATGATGGAATATGGGGTGGACCTCTTTCCTGGGTGGGGGATGGATTTGGGAGGTATATCGATTAGAGGATAGGGGTCTCTGGGTGTTGCATTATGGTTAGGGGTTTTTTGTTTATTGCTCGTGGGTTTGTGGCTTAACAATGAAAAACTGTTCACAAAAACAGGCCGATTCACAGTTTAAAACACACCTTAAAAAATCAATAGAAATAGAAATCACCTCACTACCCAAGAGAACTACATTACACCTGCACTTAATTTCTTAAGACGCCAAATGACGCACTGAAAATCATTTTCAGCCGCAAATTTACAGCAGTGAGCGTCTCTATAAATAGGAAAATGAAAATGATAGACTATAACTAAATCATCCTCTCCAGTTTCCCTTGATCAATAAAATAAACGATACTGGGTCTCACACCTCACCATTGTAAATGTTCAAATCCTCCTCTGAGACAAAGGCGTTGGCTCCCCACACGACCAGCTTTCTGACGGCTGTGGGAAACTTCGCAGCAGCAATTAGTGCTGTTATTCCACCATCGCTCCAGCCCAACAGAGAGAATGTCTTAAAATTCAATGCCTGAAAATCAATGACACACCCTTCAGAGCTCCTGGAGGAGCACACAAACTCAATCGAAATCAGTGCTCCCTCAAGCTGCCATTTAGATTTCACTCAGATGATCATAAACCAACTTTCCCAGCACACAGATTAGGAACTGAATTTCTCATGGCTTACACGTCCTGTGACCACAGGGTTTAAAATATTCACAGAAGCTGTGGAAAACATAAAAATGGCCTTTGAGGGCAAAGAGATTTCAATCGAGAAGATTCCAAACGCGAATGGGCAGTCCAAAATCTGGAGTTTTCTTTGTTGTCCCCTGGCGCTGTTCTCGTTTTCTTTTTTTCACTTATCCTTGTCATAAAAGGCAGAAAACTGACCTTTTCGTTCTCATGAATAATATCTGCTGTATTGGCTGAGCATATATTGTATTGCTGAAGTACATTAAGGTCTTGATGCAAACAGACTACTGGCGGTAAAACAAACAGTGCTACTGATTTTTTCCTGAAGGGTGGAGTGGTGGCTCTGTGGCTCAGGATCTGTGCCTGTGGCTGGAATGTTGCTGGTTTGTATCCCGCGGCCAGCAGAGGAATCCTACTCCGTCAGGCCCCTGAGCAAGGCCCTTCACCCCAGCTGCTCCAGGGGCACCGTATAAATGGCTGACCCTGCGCCCTGACCCCAAGCTTCTCTCCCTGTCTGTGTGTCTCATGGAGAGCAAGCTGGGGTATGCGAAAATAAATTCCTAATGCAAGAAATTGTATATGGCCAATAAAGTGATCTTATTTTACTTTAGGCCAGAATATTTTTTCCATGCTGAAGAGAAAAGAAACATAACATTTCGGCTGTGGAGCCTTCTTCACGCCTGAAAAAGGCTCCACAGCTGAAATGCTGTGTTTCTTTTCTTCTCTTTTCAGCATGGAATAAACATTTACCTGTTCCTTTGCAGCCTACGCTAATGACACAGCTACCCACTTGACCTACTTCATAATGTTTCGTCAACGAGACACGGTTGAATTTCAAACTGCACTCTGACCTTCATTAGGCCCACAGCATCCTTGGCGTCCCTGTCAAAGAAGTCCAAGGGAAAGCTCAATTATGTGGGAACCCCACAAAGCGTACAGTATCACCTCCAATCCTAACTACCTGTGCTCGTGGAATGTGCCCTCTGTTACCTGCCTCAAACTGCAAAAATGCAACAAAAAATTCATTTGAACACAGTTTTAAACACCCCATGTGTCTCTTCACAGCAATGAACAGGGTGCTTAAATACCCATTTGCAAAACTCATGGTGTTGCAGTCATCACATAAACTATTTCTGTGTATCATAACAGTTCATACTAATGATATGAACTGAAAAATGAGAGCTATGATAAAAAAGATTTTACTGTTATTTGAAAAAATACGAAATCTCATGCCTGTTTTTCAACAAACTAAATCATTGCAGGGGCATGTTACCAACATTTGCTCCTCCCAAATATAGTACAACCCGTTTCACATATATACAGTACAGTGAATATCCTGTAACTCTGCAAACTACTGTATATATAAACTGTAGGTTATGCAAAAAGTACACTTCCTCTTCGGTTGCTATGACTGTTCACAGATCTCGCAATTGCGACTTTGTATCTCAGAATTCCGATTTTATTTCTTGTAATTGCGACTTAAAATCTCAGAATGACGAGACCTGGAAGTGCAGGATTGTCTTCGTGAGCTCTGTACCTAGAGATCCCGGCAGCAGCAGTGCTGCGTGCCCTCCGTGCCCAGTCTGTCGGTAGTGCAGCTCGACTCCATTCACCCGCCTCCTGGCTGACTGGACAGAGGTGCTGTGAAACACGACGACAACAACAACAAAATAATGCGTGAAGTATCTGTTTTAAAAGAATAACGATAGCGAACAAACCTATAGAAAACCTATAGTTATCTACCCACACAACTTAAAAAAAAAAAACAGACAGGCCAAGAGTCAAATGAAAGCCGCGACAGCTCGCCCAGGAAAGTTTATTTTCCCATTCACAGGTTGAATGTGAACTGCACAATACAGCCAAGTGATTTATTTTTGTGAACATCTTAATTTTCCTCAAACACAACAAGCCAAGTCCGGCTTCCCTCTGGACCATCATCTCTGTGCATCAGTCCGGCGACACACCGTCCGCCAAGGCAGCAATAGAAAGAAACCTGTCTGGTTTTGGGCTGTTGTGAATGTCGGTTCTGAAAAAAAAAACAACAACTACCGTGTTGTTAACACAGCTAATTCATAAACGCAGAACTGGGACTTTGATTGTTGGCATGAGTCCAATTTCGTCAACTGCGTTGCCTTGATTTACATTGAAATGGCAAGGAATCCTGTTTGTCACTAGGTACCTCTGTCTCCAGTTCCCCGGGTCAGAATCCCACACCCTCTCACATTAAACACAACCCGTTTTGAAACCTTTTAAGCCTGAATGTACTGTAACTGAAAAACAGTTTCACCGCGTCATTTAACCCCTTTTCCCAAGCACGCTACATTAACCCAAGGACTTCTCTGGTCACCCAATCAGTGACGAGTCCGGCTTCCACACAGGGACTCGCCGGCGAATGTGCCAGCTTTCTTAAATTAAAAAAAAAACACCAACAATTTAAGCAATATAACCAAACGTGCAAAAGAAAGTGCGCCACGTCTCTGGTCGTCCCTGGGCTCGTCACACGTTAGTATCACTGAAAGTGTAGCGTTACCAGTACAGCAGCGGCTGGCCGGGCGCTCCGGACCTGAGCGCACCTCCGCCGCCGGGCGCTGGGCGCTGGGCCGACCTCCAGCCTCGACAGATCTGCCTCCACGCCATTTTTCTCCCGCACCTGAATCTCCGCCAACTCCAACAAATGTTTCATTTCGCCCCTTTTCCCCATCACATACTTTCCGCGAGATGAAATGGGTGTCCAATAATTGTGTTTTTTTTGGTAAGAAAAAAAAAACATCCGTGTAAATTTAGTGAGACTAGTCGTGTTGCCTTTTTTTTTTTTGCTTTCGAAAGTGCGTAAGCAAAACGTCAAGACCGTGTTGCAGTCCGAAGTTAGAAGTTTTAACGACTCTTAAAGGTTGTTCATAAAGCACAGAGGAAATGAAGCGAACAAAAAAAAAAGATCTTTGTGCATACACAATATAAGCTATTTTGTACTACATTACAGTAATGATGACGACAGCTTTATCTTCTTTTCATATCATATATATGCACCTTACTAGGACACCTGCTTGAGGAACTAAGAATGGGGGATGATCAGACGCTTCAATGTCTTTTACATACTTTCTGATGATTATTTTCGGGATCTCACGATGCACTGGAGGAACTCCACACTCGAAGAAGGCTCCACACCCGAAACGTTGTGTCTCTTTTCAGCATGGAATAAACCTTCAGCATGGAATAAATATTTCCAACTCATGAAACTGTCTCTCCAGTGTGATCTGTTACGGTACAAAGTCAAACGTAGGTTTTGAATTCTAACACAGACCTCTCCACCTTACCAGGAATTCTGTCAACTTCATGGGGAGGTGCTCCTAAAATGATTTATACCTTTATAAATAATTACTAAAATGTTTTTATTCATATTGTGTTTTGATCAGGCAAGAACTTTCTACATATCCTGACACACTCAATATCAATGGATGTCTTGGGGTTACAGTCACAGTGCACCAATACATCCGCATTTGCAATACACAGTCATTAGGAAGGACATGATGGCGTTTTTATACTTTAGCACGTAAAGCACAATAATCGATTAAGCAGACTCATGCATCCATGACAGCAGCAAGGTTTAACACAAACAGAAATCCAATCTTTATAAAAAATAGAAATAGATCAAACCACCATTGATAAAATAACTTCTTATAGCGTCGAACTATAACCAGCGTCCGTTCACAGACTTGAGCCACGCGATTTTAGGAGTGAACACGGGGTCCTGGAGAACCCAACATGAACTCCTACCTATTGTTTACAATCACACATAAATACAGATATTGCGTATGTGACCGGCGTGAACCCGTGTCTCCGGTGTAAGGCAACAGGGAACCAGCCGCATGAGCTAAAGGAAACCTCCCTCAGCCCAGGCAGCTGAGGTCCCTGCTACGCGCAGGGAGGGCGCTGACATCACCGTATCCGACCTAGCTCCGCTACACCTACGTCAAGTAAGAAAAAATAGACATCTTTGCATCGGAAAAAAAAGCCTAAAACAAAAAATGAACACTATGAAAAAGTCGGAATATATAACCAGAAATCGATCTTAGCACAAATTTGGTTGGAGCTTCGCGATATTTAGCTTCACGTTGAAAGTTGGAACATTTGAAAGTTCAGAAAATCTCGGATGCGGCAAGGATGTGTCCTGCCCACTGTGTGTCCGGCCTTGCGCCAGTTGCTGGCCGAAAAAGGCTTGTGCGCCCCCATGACCCTGAATCGGACAAGGCGGTTATGAGAAGCTTGAATGGATGAATGGGTTCACACAACCTGATCCGCATACTAATATAATCCCATGCACATTCGCTTTCACTTCGCCAGTTGAGATATCGTGGCATTGGGAAAAGGTTTCTGCTGGGGGGAACAGCTGGTGCCTTGTAGCTTTTTTTTTTGCATGTCACCATGCATTGCCCCCAACATAGACCAAAATAGCCAAATGTACCCAAGAAGTACCAAACTGGCTGACGAACTCAAGAAGCTCGTCATACTTCTGAAATGGGAGCAACGGACTTGCTATTGCTTACTTTATTTTGTATGCCCCTGTGGACGTTGGTTGGGACGCTAAACAATCAGTTTCTGACATTTTATGTTTATTGTACAGATTTTGGTTGAGATTTTTGGCGGTGCCAAGATAGCATGGAGATTATAGAATGTGCAAGTACCGAAGACTCGAAGACTCCTGCCTGTATGTCTGAACATACAGCCCCTGCCCCCGCAGAAAAATAAAGTTTTTATTGAGTAGCAAAGAATTAAACATTTGAAAGCGATTCTCCTATAGTCTCTTTCCATTATATTTTAATATATACGTCTCTTTGTCCATACGAAAAGGCAGTTTAAGTCACATGTTCTCCTGTATGACTAAAATATGGTTTGACACGTGCTGTGGCTCAGTTTATGGGGTAGACATTCCCTGGCACACATGCAGCAATCTATTGATCAGCTCATCAGTGAGCGAGTCTCCAAGGGCTCTGTAAAGCTTTCCCACAGTACTGCCCGCACAGCCTTCTCTCATCTTCCACCTCTCCAGCATCTGATAGACCTTCTCCTTCAGTCCGTCCCGCTCGCAGTCGTGGTCGATCACCTCGATCTCCGCCTGCGTCAGCCCCAGCCTGCGGGCGCAGTGCTTCCACTGCCTGCCCAGGTTCTCCCTGAGCAGCTCCAGGTGCTGCTCCTGCACTGGGTAATTCTCTGCGGGAAAAAAAAAACAACACACACACACACACCATCAGCACCTGAGGATTCGGAGCAGATGATCAGTCCATTCTGAGGAAAAAGAACATCAACACCGCGACCCAGGAGCCACTGTGGTGCAGTTCATCACGTTTTCCCAAGACAAGATTATAATAATTATACTGTATGGATTTAATGGAGAGGTACAGTATACTACACCTGTTCACAGTAACGCTACTATGTGCAGTGTAATAAAACAGAATTAAGACTGTTTGGGATAACAGACAACATTCTTAAGTATCAGATTATTTTCACTCTTTTCCTTTCAATTTGCTTCTTTGCAGAACTGCTACCATTATGTTCCTAATTATTTAACGGATTAATATTTACTGTATATAATCACACTATTACATTATAGTTATATACCAAGATGTTTGTTCTAAACCTTTAATACCTCTAAAATATGAGTGCAAAAAAGGTTCAGCACTGATTTGTATTGTAATGTCACTGTTAAGATACCGTTTGTGTGTTATTTCTCAGTTATAAAACATCCATTTATCCTGGCAAGTAGCAGTTACCTACTTTAAGCTAACTAGTGTAAGGATTGTAATACTAACATATTCAACTCCCTAGACTTCTGGGGCATTCAAAAGTAGATATTTAAATAAAATAAATTTTAAATTCAAACTGCATGTTATGCAACAAGAGAAGCTTAGTGATGAATGATTTCTAAAAGCAGGGAGGAATAAATATTGCAGTGTCTCACCGTATTTTTGCAACATTTCTGATGAGATATTATCGCACAGCGCGCCTGATGGATGATGGGGTGAACCGAAAGACTGACTTGCAATGCTCATGTGATTGTTACCTCCAATCTGCAGCCCACTGACATTCTGTATTACCCAGCTGCCTGCTTGAACAAGAAAATGTGAAAGAATAAAACAAGGGCTAGTAATACAGTTATATCAATTAAGACTGTTTATAATACCAATAACTACTTGCATTTGTGTAAATCACACGTACATTTAACAGTCTTTTGGCCGATTAACATTTAGATTTATTTTGGGGATAGATTTCTCTTGCACTCCAAATGTTTTTACAATGCACAAAAAACAACGCGCCACCATGCACATACAACATACATCTTTTTACACATTTTACATATAAAACTTATGCATTGCTTTCCAAAGGCCTTCACAAAATCTATAAATAACATTTGTGCTAATCATTTTTGTTTTATCTGTTTTATTTAGCAAACAAATGCAAATATCATTTAAACTTACTGAGGCTGTCATCCAAAATATTACAGTACCTACACAGTAAAAATGGTGATTCTCTCATTTATTGTATGTGTCAACAAAAGTATCAAATAAGCAGTGTTATGATGTGTAAAATAAATATCTAGCACTCTTATCAGTCTTTAAAAACCTACTGTGGACATATCTATGATATTATTTCTATGTGTGTATAGAAATATAGTGCATCATTTTGTCCACAATTGATTGAATTTTGTTTACAATTATTTTTAGCATACAATTATTTTTTAAGTGAAATGTTTAAATTTAATCTTACCTTGTGGAGTGTATGGAATTTCTAGATTATTGCATATAGGCCAGGCCATGTTATTATTAGATACAGGTTTTCCTAAAAAAAACAAAAACAACACAGAACACGTCTGGATTTCATGGACTTAAAACATCATGTTGTCACGTTTTCCATACCTGGAGATCAAGGGTGGTGAAGAATATGGTCTGTGGGCCATTTCTTTGGCCCATGTGACCATTACAGCAAACTGCCTCCTGTTTGGGCCTTGCAGGCTCAGACAGGGTGCATATTCAATGCCTGATGATGGTTTCCCTAAGCCATCTCCAGGTTTTGACTGAGCTCAGCACACAGTAGGAGATTGCCAATGACCTTCTCCATACAGACTGTATATTTGTACAACTTGTCGCTGGGCATTCTATCGAAAAGAATCAGGCACCATAGCTTTTAAGTTTTGATTCCCTTCTTGTTCAGCATTTGTCGACCCTTCATGAAGTGGTTATCGATATTTAACAGTTCATACTGCAGGTCCTTGATCAATAACTTTGGGACCTCTTAAATGAACAATGTTCCTTCCATTACAAATATTTCACACGTACAGTAAACCCTATCTACACAAGTAGATAGAAAATAGCTGCATATTGATAACTCTATATGTAACATTATAACACTTTCTGAGGTGTGTAACAGATCCTGTTCTTAAGATCAGATCACTTTATTGGCCATATACAATTTCTTGCATTAAGAATTTTGTCTGTTCGCAGACCCCAGCTTGCTCTCCATAAGACACACAGGCAGGGAGAGAAGCTTGGGGTCAGAGCGCAGGCTCAGCCATTCATATGGTGCCCCTGGAGCAGCTGGGGTTAAGGGCCTTGCTCAGGGGCCCAACGGAGTAGGATTTCTCTGCCGGCTGTGGGATTTGAACCGGCAACCTTCCAGCCACAGGTGCAGATCTTCAGCCACAGAGTTGCTGCTCCGCCCACTGTAAAGCATAATTAGCTTGTTTTTGTGGCTTTGTAAGTGTACGTAGTGATGATGTATACAGTATATAACCTGGTGTGTAAATCCGCTATGCATTCCCGTGTTTCAACATTTTCCCATCGCTACACATAAACAGTCCCCCCCCCCAGCGCCTCTCCTTTCCCTCTGGGCCGACGCGAACCGACGTTTTTTCCGAGCACGGAAAGAGCTACCTGTGTCCTGAAACGGAGAGAAGCCGGCGGGGTTGAAAGGCGCCCCCCCTGTGAAGTCCGCGGCTCCCGACTCCGGAACGGGGAAGGCCGTGGGGCCGGAGTTCACGCGGTGGGCCGCCGGGGGGAAGAGTCCGTAGGGGCTCCCCGGCGCCACCCCGGCGCTGGCCGAGCCGCCCAAGGGCTGGCTCTGGCCCAGCGCAGGAGGGGGTCCGGGAGACCTCC